GCCAGTATCTTGATTACCTCCGGTGGAATACCGTCTGGGCCCGGCGCTTTCCTCACTTTTAACTTGGCTGCTGCTGTGGCTATTTCTTGCGTGCTGAAGAGCGGTATCTCGCTTGTGTATATGGGGGTCAGCAGAATCTCGCTCCTGTCAGGAAAAAGTGTTTCCACTATCTGCTTCAACCCAGAGTCGGGAAGTGTAAATGGAGGACCAGCCTCTGTGAAGTTTTTCTTTATTATCTTATACCCTTCTCCCCAGATGTTATCGTTTAGCTCTTCCAGTAGTAGTCGCCACCTTTTCTTCTTTTCTTTGGAGATCATTTTCCTCAGTCCGTTCCTCACCTCTTTGTATACTTGCCACATTTCTGTGAGTAAGCCATTTACCTCCCTTGTGCTCCTATGTCTTGCTGCCCTGGTGTAGACTCTCCTTTTCGCTATGCACTCCTTTCTTTTGTTTGCAATATCCTCGTTCCACCAGTACGGTACCGTTGACATTGCTGCGCCCCCTTTCTTAGATTTTTTAACTGCTTCTTTGAGCATTTCCTCCAGTGAGAGCGGATCCAGCGGCATCGTTTTGCATGTGATAGTGAGTTTTTCTCTTAAGTTAGTGAGTAGTCTATCCTGGTCCAGATACAGTTTACGTCGCATTTCCATCTTTTTTGGGGTATTGTCTTTCACTTCGAAAAATATGTACTTATGTGGGGAAAGGGACTCGTTTTCGAGGACCTCCCAGTTACTAACCCTAGCTGCAAGATTTCGTGTGGAAAAGGTAATATCTATATAGGATTTCTGCTGCCTTCTTTCGAATGTTGGTATGCCTCCCTTGTTGTGAGCTACCAGTCCAACTCTGGCACACGCTTCCGACAGTACCTGTCCCCTCCTGTCCATAATCGGGGATCCCCATTCCGGAGACTTCGCGTTGAAGTCCCCAAGAACAATACACTCTCTGTTACTGGCAGCAATCAGGTCAGCAAGATTATCAACATACCGCTCGTACTCTTGTAAACCTATATTAGGTGACACATAGCAGCCATATATATTGATTTGCTGAGTAGCTCCTCCGCCTCTTTGTCCTGTATCATTAGCGTGACCGCCTGTGTATCTCCAGCCCCTGGTCTAAGTTTAGATAGTCGGAGATCGCTTGTTTTAAGATTCCCGACTTTGGACTCGATGGCTTCAACAACCTCTTCCTCCGTTGCAGTGGCATCCAATCCTCTTATATGTATCGCTGTAAGTGATGATCTCTCCATTCCAATAATATTTGTCTTTATGAAAACTAACCAAAACTAACCAAAACTAACCAAAACTAACCAAAACTAACCAAAACTAACCAAAACTAACCAAAACTAACCAAAACTAACCAAAACTAACCAAAACTAACCAAAACTAACCAAAACTAACCAAAACTAACCAAAACTAACCAAAACTAACCAAAACTAACCAAAACTAACCAAAACTAACCAAAACTAACCAAAACTAACCAAAACTAACCAAAACTAACCAAAACTAACCAAAACTAACCAAAACTAACCAAAACTAACCAAAACTAACCAAAACTAACCAAAACTAACCAAAACTAACCAAAACTAACCAAAACTAACCAAAACTAACCAAAACTAACCAAAACTAACCAAAACTAACCAAAACTAACCAAAACTAACCAAAACTAACCAAAACTAACCAAAACTAACCAAAACTAACCAAAACTAACCAAAACTAACCAAAACTAACCAAAACTAACCAAAACTAACCAAAACTAACCAAAACTAACCAAAACTAACCAAAACTAACCAAAACTAACCAAAACTAACCAAAACTAACCAAAACTAACCAAAACTAACCAAAACTAACCAAAACTAACCAAAACTAACCAAAACTAACCAAAACTAACCAAAACTAACCAAAACTAACCAAAACTAACCAAAACTAACCAAAACTAACCAAAACTAACCAAAACTAACCAAAACTAACCAAAACTAACCAAAACTAACCAAAACTAACCAAAACTAACCAAAACTAACCAAAACTAACCAAAACTAACCAAAACTAACCAAAACTAACCAAAACTAACCAAAACTAACCAAAACTAACCAAAACTAACCAAAACTAACCAAAACTAACCAAAACTAACCAAAACTAACCAAAACTAACCAAAACTAACCAAAACTAACCAAAACTAACCAAAACTAACCAAAACTAACCAAAACTAACCAAAACTAACCAAAACTAACCAAAACTAACCAAAACTAACCAAAACTAACCAAAACTAACCAAAACTAACCAAAACTAACCAAAACTAACCAAAACTAACCAAAACTAACCAAAACTAACCAAAACTAACCAAAACTAACCAAAACTAACCAAAACTAACCAAAACTAACCAAAACTAACCAAAACTAACCAAAACTAACCAAAACTAACCAAAACTAACCAAAACTAACCAAAACTAACCAAAACTAACCAAAACTAACCAAAACTAACCAAAACTAACCAAAACTAACCAAAACTAACCAAAACTAACCAAAACTAACCAAAACTAACCAAAACTAACCAAAACTAACCAAAACTAACCAAAACTAACCAAAACTAACCAAAACTAACCAAAACTAACCAAAACTAACCAAAACTAACCAAAACTAACCAAAACTAACCAAAACTAACCAAAACTAACCAAAACTAACCAAAACTAACCAAAACTAACCAAAACTAACCAAAACTAACCAAAACTAACCAAAACTAACCAAAACTTTTTTTTTTTTTTTTTTTTTTTTTTTTTTTTTTTTTTTTTTTCCTCGAGGGGATTAGGAAATCTGCAAACAGACACCTCGCCTGTTGTTCTGGCGGTCGAGGTAGTGTCGGGGTGGTGTCCTTGTCAATAGATCACCGACCGACTAAAACCCTTCCCCCTCGTTTTCATACCCCAGGTTAGTGGGATCGTCCTAGCGGACATGCTTCACTAGCCCGGTTGTCACCCCTATGTTTTATCCGTCTCCTCCCGCAAGTTCTACACTCTTCGACTTCATGATATCAATAATGCATTCCTGTATTGCTCCCCACTTTTCGGCCGTGTCCAGCATGCCTTCCACCACGCTCGCCGGCGTCAGAGCTTCTGTCTCTCTCCCGAGGGTTTCGCATATCCGCAGTCTCTGCGAGGTCCAGCGTGGGCAGCTGATCAGCGTGTGCTCTGCACTGTCCTCTCTATCACAGTATAAACATTTAGTGTCGGTTTTGCCTAGTCGATTAGTGTAGACCTTGAAATGGCCATGTCCGGTAAGTACTTGTGTAAGATGGTAGTCCAACTGCCGGTGCCTGCACCTCCTCCATTTGTCTATGCTTGGGATCAGTGCTCTGGTCCATCTCCCCACGGTGGATGCTTCCCATCTGCTTTGCCATTCTTGGTTCGTCCGCTCCTTCGCCCTTTGCTTTGCACCTGGGCCTCTGCCTTCTTGGGCAGCGTATCTCCTCTCCTCCACTATTAAATCCACAGGGGGGAAACCCGTTATAACCTGGACTGCTGCGCTGGAGACCGTTCTGTAGCCGCACGCCACCCTCAGGAGTGCTTTTCTTTGAACGCTTTCCAGTATTTTACGGTAGGTCTTTATCCTCATTACAGGGCTCCATATAGGTGCGGCATACATAATTGTGGACTGCACTACTCCATACAATATCCCCCTCTTTTCCGTATTTGGACCTTTGTAGTTTGGCATTAGTCTTGCGACTGACGCTAACTTCTTGGTTGCCTTTTGCGAGACCACTCTAACATGCTCCCCGAAAGAGATGTTTTCACCAATCAGGACGCCTAAATATTTTATAGCCTTAGCTGGCTTGATTACCTGGTCATTTACATTAATCTGGATATCCTGTCGGTTCCTGCGTCCACTCAGAATGACCGCCTCCGTCTTTTCAACAGCTAGTTCCAGAGTATTTGCCTGCAGCCACTTTACGACCTCCTGGAGCGCATGGTTTGCATTTAGAGTCAGTTCTTGTTTGTTTTGACCTTGTACTACTATGGCTACATCGTCAGCATAGCCTACGACGCTGGCCCCTGGGCCAAACTCCAATCTCAGTATATCGTCATAATATACATTCCATAGTAACGGGCCCAATACAGATCCTTGGGGGATTCCTGCGGATACTTTTTTCTTCTGTTTTCCAAACAGTATGACTCTATCGTCTAAGTAGTCTCTAACCAAGTTGATTAGGTATTGTGGCAACCTATTTGTTCTTAGTTTTTTAAGGAGTATCGCCCACGATGCCGAATTAAAAGCGTTTTTCACGTCAATAGTGATTAGCATACACCATCTTTCGCCTTTTCCTCGGAATTTTACTCCCTCTGCCAGGATCATCACCGCGTTTATTGCGTCTAGGGTGGACATGCCTTTTTTAAATCCATATTGATTTGCCGATATTTGTCCAGTTTTTGCCAGTTCTTTTTCCAGTCTGTCCTTTATAAGGTGTTCGTACAGTTTAGCGATTGAGTTTACCAGGCACAAGGGTCTATACGAATTTGCGAGCTCAAAAGGTTTACCACTTTTGTGGATCAATACCACCTTTGTTAGTTTCCATGAAGTGGGGAATTCCTGTCTTATCAATAAGTTATTATAAAGATCCCGCAGTATTGTCGGCTCGCCTTTTGCCAGTATCTTGATTACCTCCGGTGGAATACCGTCTGGGCCCGGCGCTTTCCTCACTTTTAACTTGGCTGCTGCTGTGGCTATTTCTTGCGTGCTGAAGAGCGGTATCTCGCTTGTGTATATGGGGGTCAGCAGAATCTCGCTCCTGTCAGGAAAAAGTGTTTCCACTATCTGCTTCAACCCAGAGTCGGGAAGTGTAAATGGAGGACCAGCCTCTGTGAAGTTTTTCTTTATTATCTTATACCCTTCTCCCCAGATGTTATCGTTTAGCTCTTCCAGTAGTAGTCGCCACCTTTTCTTCTTTTCTTTGGAGATCATTTTCCTCAGTCCGTTCCTCACCTCTTTGTATACTTGCCACATTTCTGTGAGTAAGCCATTTACCTCCCTTGTGCTCCTATGTCTTGCTGCCCTGGTGTAGACTCTCCTTTTCGCTATGCACTCCTTTCTTTTGTTTGCAATATCCTCGTTCCACCAGTACGGTACCGTTGACATTGCTGCGCCCCCTTTCTTAGATTTTTTAACTGCTTCTTTGAGCATTTCCTCCAGTGAGAGCGGATCCAGCGGCATCGTTTTGCATGTGATAGTGAGTTTTTCTCTTAAGTTAGTGAGTAGTCTATCCTGGTCCAGATACAGTTTACGTCGCATTTCCATCTTTTTTGGGGTATTGTCTTTCACTTCGAAAAATATGTACTTATGTGGGGAAAGGGACTCGTTTTCGAGGACCTCCCAGTTACTAACCCTAGCTGCAAGATTTCGTGTGGAAAAGGTAATATCTATATAGGATTTCTGCTGCCTTCTTTCGAATGTTGGTATGCCTCCCTTGTTGTGAGCTACCAGTCCAACTCTGGCACACGCTTCCGACAGTACCTGTCCCCTCCTGTCCATAATCGGGGATCCCCATTCCGGAGACTTCGCGTTGAAGTCCCCAAGAACAATACACTCTCTGTTACTGGCAGCAATCAGGTCAGCAAGATTATCAACATACCGCTCGTACTCTTGTAAACCTATATTAGGTGACACATAGCAGCCATATATATTGAATTTATCTGCTTCCACCATCACTATTCCGTCCTCTCTTTTGGTTCTACTAACTTTGACATCTTTATTCATGAAGTATACCGCCACATCCAATCTCTTGTCAACCGTCCATCTCTTGTTTTTCACAATTCTTTTATTTGGTTCACTTGCAACTATAATATCTACGTTCTTCTCGTTCGCTGTTAAGAACGCCAAATCATGGGACCCTTCAGACCTGTCAGAGTTTATTTGTAGAAACTTCACTATGTTTACTGTAGGTTAGGTCCTCCGTCCCTGTATTCCCACGCATTACGCCTTCTTTTGGACGACAGTGCCCTGCGGAAGACTTTACAGCTACCCGTACCGGCCCTGTGTCCTTTCTCCTGACATAGAGGGCACGCCTCTTCTAGGCTACAGTTTTGGCTGTTGTGACCCGTTGTCCCACATTTATAGCAAAGTTCCCTCCTATCAGGTCCCGTGCACTCATATGCGCGATGCTCGTATGACCAACACTTGAAACACCTCTCTATATTTAAACGTGGTTCTAGTCTGCACCTTACAAGCCCTATTCGCAGTTCCTTATGTTTGCTGAGTAGCTCCTCCGCCTCTTTGTCCTGTATCATTAGCGTGACCGCCTGTGTATCTCCAGCCCCTGGTCTAAGTTTAGATAGTCGGAGATCGCTTGTTTTAAGATTCCCGACTTTGGACTCGATGGCTTCAACAACCTCTTCCTCCGTTGCAGTGGCATCCAATCCTCTTATATGTATCGCTGTAAGTGATGATCTCTCCATTCCAATAATATTTGTCTTTATGCTGGTTGATAACTCTTGTATCTGCTTTTGAGCTTCTGACAACGCCACCTCGTCCTTTTCCATTACTATTAGCAGTTTGCCGTCTTTTGTCTTCCTTATGTGTTTTATTTTTTCACTTGCCTGTGTATTTATTAATTTGGCCTTGATTTCTCTCAACGTTTCTTTATAGTCCTTGTGTTTGTGTTGCACCATCAATGCGTACGTTGGTCGTTCTTTTCTATTATTTGTTGGCTTGTTTTCCTGAGTTTCTTCTACTCTGCCTTTAGCTTGATACACTTTCGTGGTGTATATTACCACGTTAGTTAACGTCCTCCTGAATATCGCTTCGGTCATCTTTCTCATTTTATCAAGGTGTAGATTATTTAGATGATGAAGGGCAACCCATTCGTCGTGCTCTGTCTCCTTCCGTAGCTTCATCAGTACGTCCCAGAATTTTTCTGTTTCTGCCTCTATTTGTATCTTGATGATCTTTTGTCCAGTAGTTGGCTCCTCCCTATCCGATTTAATCCTGGTTGTCTGTTCCATCACTACAAATTCACCTTCAACGTTGGCTAATTCTTGGTAGCGACTTTTGTATTGTGACTGTATACTTCTCTCCAACTTAGGGTCGGAAGGTTCGACGAAGACTACTTTGACCGTTGACGCTTTAGTATATAACGGATTTCCGACCTTTATTTCAGTGTGTTCAAAAACTTCTTTTGGCCAGTTGTGCCCTTCAATTTCCTTGTATTCGTTATAATTTCTTATCGAGTCGAGTTTAGAGGCCGTTATGTATTCAGGCTCTTGCCCTGTCTGGGTCCCTATGGTTTGGGTATGTGGGTTGATTCCATTTCTACGAACACTTGTCCCATCCGGGATTTGGATCAGGGCTTCCGTGTCAGTTTGCACCTCCTGCTCTCTTGACTCAGACTGCACGGTTTGTATATCGGCATCAAAAGTCATACAGTCTACGGGTTTATATTTTCTATCTTGGATCCATTCCCACAAGGTCCTTCTGCTGAGGATATCCCTCTGCTTTCCTAATTTCGACGTAGTCTCTTTTATTTCCCTTTTTGTGTTCGGGTTCTGCTCCACCGCTCTGGTCAGATTTCTAACCAAGCGGTCCACCTCCTTCAGGGCTGCTGTAAGTTCGAAGGCAATCGGGCATGGAGTCCTTTTTGTGGTGTCTTCTTGCATGTATCTCCTGTGTTCTTCTTCACTCTTTCTTTTCCGTCCATCCGTTTCATTCTCGTTGGAAATAGCTCTGCGAATTCCTGGTCTTAATAGTCCTTGTAACAGTCTATCTTCCTCCTTAGATAATTCTAGCGAGGTCATAGAACTCCTTCTCTCTTGCGGTCTGTGTGATTGGCCCCCCCCAGAATCCATGGGGCCGGCGCCGACCACCGGGGCTTTCACCCGATCGGAATCAGCGGTGAGATTTACACTCACCTGGGGTACTAGTTGTTTTGTTTTGTCACACATCATGTATTATGTTTTGTTC